TGCGAAACAAATAGAACCTTCGAATTCACTGAGCTTCTCGCGATTATGCTCTGACTGAGTCAGCAATTTTTTCAACCACATTGTAAAAATCTTCGTCATAAAACGAAAGGATATCCAAGCAGACAAATATTTTCAAAAACGCGTTTACACGTTTGAAAATGTGTCTTAAAAATATAAAAAGTAGATGCTTTTGCCCTTTTTTGTGCGTTTACACATGTTTTCAACGAGAGCACGATTGTAAAGCGTATAAGCGCATAAAAAGAACATGAAACACAGATAGCATCTTCCCAGTAGTCAATTACCATCATGATTGGGATAACAGTTTACGATCGTGAAGACAACTGCGTTTTGTCTTCTTTTTATGCTTTTATATGTTTCTACAATCGCGTCCTCGCTGAAAATGAGTTTAAACGCAGAAAAAAGGGCAAAAAACCAACTTTTGAAAATGTCTGTTTGCTAGGGTATCAGCCGGCGAGATAAAAATATCAAAAGAAAGGTTCTGAAAAGACATTTATAAATATTAGATTCAGAATAAAGACAATTATCATCAACATAGCATTAAAATAAGTTTAATTTTGAAAATATTGCGATAAAGAAATATTCTCGTTTTAAGGATATATCTAAAGAAAAATGTAATTTTTGGCGTCTCTTGATTTTCCAGTTAGAATACTCAAGCACACTTAGTGCTATAGAACATTAATATTTTAACCTTTGCCCATGAATTAGTATTACCAGGGTCTATATCTGAGTACCACAGCCTCAATAAATAATGGAAAACACAAAGACATTAATCAATCGTTCAATTTTATTTATAAATAATAGCCTAAGCACATATCTCACATTCGATGACAATTCTACAAGGAATAGTGCTACTATTCGCTACAGTATCCTTATGAGACTAGAAATTTTAAAGCACGAACAGATTGAATACACACTATTTTTATAAGAAAAAGTCGCATAATCACGGTATAGCACTTATTCATGTTTAGTAGGCCTTTAAAATAATCATAAAGTCCTACTCATGTCAATCTGAACTCTGGAATTCACATAAGATTTTTGGGATTACAATGAGATTTTTGGGATTATCATGGGATTATTGGGATTATCATGAGATTCAAAATCCCAAAAATCCGCCGTTTCCCCCTTGGTCCAGAGTCTGCTATTGCCTCCTTGTGTAGAATACAGGACTTAGGAACCTAAAGGTACCTCTGGAATACAGGACTTCAGGACCTATAAGTACCTCTGGAGTATAGAAGAGTGCTTACTGTAATTAATACTAGACTAGTTAGCGCTAATTAGTTAAGTACTCACGTAATTAGTAGTAGTTAAGATGAGTACTAATTAATTAATAAAGACTTCTTTAACAATTATATACATTATCGATGTGCATTGATGACTTTCTATGTTACATAATTAATATGGTAAAATATGGATTCTGGACTTCAGTTTGGATAACGCCAACTTTGGTTCACTTCATATGACCTTTTCTATATGAGTAATGATTTCACTATAAATCTTAGACTCTAAACGAGGTGCTCGAAAAATGATTTCTTTTGTTGCTTTTCAAGTTCTTTTAGACTTTATAGCTAGACGTTCGTGCATGTAGAGTCATTGATTGAGGGACGACTTCGAAAAATATTTTGGTTAACCATAAGTATGCAATGTGATACGAGTAGGAGTTGTTTAGATGTGACTATCTTGTAGTTTCTGTAAGCTGTGGTCGTTGCATTGCCTTAATCTCAAGCCACACTTATACACATCCCCGTTCACAGCACACCATTCATACAAATATTAATAATTTTCATGTATGAGAATTTTCGAAGGGTGAAGAAAGCTTTGCTTTGATTTTCTACCGCCAATGTTTGTTAAGGTGATATGCCAATCAAAATATCAAACTACACAGAAAAACATGTGCCTCAATATACTTTTCAAATTGTTTTTTTTCGAAAAAAAGACTATCGTCTTCCCTGCCATATTCTTTCAGAATTTTTTTTTCTTAAAAATTCTACTTAGGTCATATCAAAAGTAGTGAGCTTCCCATCTTAATTTCATATAGACTGCTTGGAAAAAATTTCTTTTCTTATGAACAGATGGAGCGTCTTTTGCTCTATCTTTCTATGCTGTTTGGTCAATATTCAATCAATATCATAATAATAAAATTATCATAAAACTGTTTTTTTATGCCACTCCAGCTGGTACCAATAGTGTATATTATCATCCATGCATGTTTTCTTTTCGTTTTTCTTTATTTTTCTCCTCTTCTTTCTTTCACCTTCTTTTTCTTATCTCTTCTAACAACTATACGTTCATATATTTTACAATGCACAAAAACTAATGGTAATGGAACACATAAGAAATGCAGAAACAATTTCAACAACTTTTATTTTATCACATGTTCAACATAATCAACTCGGTTATCTATACACAATTGCATTCTTTTAATCCATTTCTAGAAGGCGTTTTTCTATTCTTCTCTATTTAAAGAATACATGAAATCGCATACACCACCAAATAATGACTCTGAATCGCTTTGATCAGCTAAATTTTTTTAATTAAAACAACCAAAAGTCACATGGTGATAAATCTGGAGAATTAGGATGAGAGGTATTATTTGAGACGTTTTGACTCAAGATATTTGGACATATCTTCATGAATGTGGTCTTCCATTATCGTGATGAATAATAATACGACTGGTGCCATATGAGGGTCTTTGACGTTTGATTTCATCGACAAGTGGTCGTAAACAATTGTTGATGTAATAGTGATGATCAATCGTTTGTCCTCGTTCCACAGGATAAATCAAAACAGGATCACCTGACTTAAAAAAGATGGAAAATAGAGTTCTCGGAGCAAACTTATCGCGTCAAACTACAGTAGGTGGAGGATCTTCTCTTCTCATTCACGCTGCATTTGATGACTTTCGACCAATTTGTGTATGATAAAACCATGCCTGGTCACCAGTTATTATATCACATAAACGTCATGTTCCTTCTTGAAATTTCGCTAAATTTTGTTTGCATATTCGAACTCATTCAGCCCGTTGAAAGTCAGTTAGATTCTTGGGTATATAACGAACGGTAGCCTTCTTAAGGTTTAAATGATCGTTGATGATTCACTGAACGGTGCCATGACTTAAACCAGTTTGCTCTTGCGTCTGTTCCATTGTGATGTGAGGATCATCATCAATAAGAAGGCAGACCTGTTCAATATTTTCAAATGTTGTTTCGGTAACAGGTCTACCAGGTCGTGCTTCATCTTCAATTTCTTCTCCGCCTTCACGAAACCATTTAGCCCACCTTTTAACTGTTGCATAAGAAGGAGCTTGATCGCCACAGACAGAATATAGTTCATCATAAATCGCTCCTGCTGAGATATTAAGTGCTGTGCGTACTTTAGTATAAATGCGAAAGTTTTCTTTATTTATCTACAACAAATGAATAGTGCTAACGATTAAAATTTCTTAAGTGGTCTGTTACGAGTCGTTTATCAACTCAAAGTGACTAAAGGCTTAAGCTGCGCAAGACTGAACTATTTTTCTGAAGTGGCACGTATATATACCGTAACTCAGACACTGAAGAATATTGCAGAATATCATCAGTCAGATCAAAGGAAAGAGATGAAAGAAGTCCATTAAGAGAAACACTAGTACACGACAAAAAAGAGAAAATGTACTTGAATAACCTAAACATAGGAAAAGAAGAGAGAGAAATATAGCGTGTTTTCTAGAAAGAAGAGAGAAAAACAAAGAAAAACGAAAAGAAAACATGCATGAATGATAATATGCACCATTGGTACCAGCTGGAGTGGCACAAAAAACAGTTTTATGATACTTTTATTATTATGATATTGATTGAATAATGATCAAATAGCATAGAAAGATAGAGCAAAAGACGCTCTATCTGTTCATAAGAAAAGAAGTTTTTCCAAACAGTCTATATGAAATTAAGATAGGAGGCTCACTACTTTTGGTATGACCTAGATATACTACCTAAGAATGATTATTATTAATATTTCAATATTCGATTTCTTCTAGAATCATCAATGCAAAGTCCAAAGCGTTCTAAATCTGCGGGAGATTTACAAAGACTCTACCAATGCAATCGAGATATCTCCGAATGTCGTCAAGGTACTCTTTTTATGGCTCAGAAAGAGCAAGAGAGAGGATATATGATTAGTCAAAAGGATTGTAGAAACATGGAAACAATATGTTTACGAAGGAGTAGATTATATTTGCTGCAGCATTATGAAAAGATTAGAGTCTATACCAATGGTGTCGTCTCGAGACCGATGCCACAAATACCAGATTTCCCCAAAATTTGCATGCGGTCTCAGGTGACATCTAGTCGATCTAAGAAAAGCCCTGCAATACCAAGACCTGTCAAACCAAAGCCTAAGCCTCAACCCGAGCAACTTGTTAATCGACCATCGTCACCTGTCCCTGTACTTGAAGTAGCTGCCGTTGTGTTCAAAAACAATCAAGCTATCATTGACATGAAAATTAAATCAACTGAGTCTGATAATACTACTGATGACGATAGAAAAGATAATGATGATGATATTATCTATCCAGCAGGTATCACTGATCGTCGTCCATATAAAACTGTTGCTAAATATCGACGGATGGTGGGAAAATCGACCGATTTTAATGCCCAACCTCTTTGCATTGGTGAAGATGAAATAGAAACAACTGTTCTCGGTTTAAATAGTTTTTCTGAAAAACACGGTTGCAATTTGATATTCACCGACGAAGAACATCGATTGGACAATAGTATCTATCGTACTGCTTGTGGTGTAGCCGATTTAGGAAGTATTCATCTTTTGGCGACTGATGCGGTTCAAACGGCAACTTTTTGCTTCATCATGGATTTCGATTTTAACAGTGAATTTCAACAATCGAAAAAGAAAGTGGACACATTCGTCATGGATTTTAGTCAAGCGGTATCAACAATTCTATCATGTAATACAAACAGTATTCGGGTATTTTCAATCAGTAAAATGGAAAAAGAGAAGAAGAAGAGTGAAGTAAAGTTTGGAGTAACATCGCCAGAACCTAGCAAGACTGAACAACTTGCGAAGCTATTAAAAGTATGTTTCTCTCTTATATAGAGTTCACTGCGGGAGGGGGAGGACGGTTCCAAAATAAGGTGACAAATGTTCGAAGAGAGATGAATAAACCAAGTTTTTCAGAGATAGGAACGAAGTAAGGACAAAAAGAAGACAATACTTGAGATGAGCAGAAACAGTGAAAAAAGGATAAACGCCATGCGCACAACACATGCAAGCGATGATGCCACAATATTAATGACCTTCCTCTAACTGTGTTCAATCGAGTTAAAATTCTCATGATCGATAATAACCGCGCTGAGATATACTAAAAGAAATCCCATGTGAATAATAAATTAAAAGACTTATTTTGAGAAAGTTAAACGATACATCTCAGATGCATTCGAAGATATCATCAAATGATTTTCAACCTGATCAGAGAAAGGAAGAGGAGAACCATCGGTTGAGTGTTCTTTGGATATATCTCTATGGAGACCTAGAAATGATCAAAGAATTAGAGGATGTACTCTCAAGAATCATTGTGATCAATGTAGCTTTGTCTTTACTGTTGTCGGCTCCTATTCTCTTGGGAATACTAAACGAGACATAGTACCGTCGGTTTTAGATAAATACTGAAAGACATTCAAAGAAATAATTTCTTGTTTACCATTTTCGTCTGTCATTATTCTAGACTCATGCTCTGGCAGGTTTTAGTGGTGATAAAATTCTTGGTCGTGTTATTGCTCGTGATTATGACTATACATGGAAACCAGCATTACAGGCATTAAAATTGCACATAAATGACCTTGCTCCTGAGTATAACTACGATTATAGACCGTCCTATGTACCTGACACACTTCAACGTGGAGGTCATACATACTTCTTACCTCGTGGTTGGTATCGTCATGCTCTTAGCGTTCTACACAAGTATGAAAAGGATCCAAAGTGGCTCGGTCAATCCAATACGGAAGGTGAATGGCCAGTTGCCTATCATGGAACAAAGTCTTGGGCAGTTGCAAGTATTGTTCAACAAGGTTTAATGACTGGTGCTGTTAAAGTTGATGTGATGCGCCCAGAAGCCATTCAACAGATGGGAGAAGAAGCAAATAGTCCTGGTCTATATGTAGCCACACACTGTGATGGTGGAGCGCAAATCTATACTGAACCATTTACAGCAAGGGGGAAAAAGCAGATTTCAAGATTTCAAGATTCTGAAAGATTCCAAGAGATTTCCAAAGATTTCCAAAGATTTCTAGAGATTTCTAAAGATTTTAAAAGATTTCTAAAGATTTCCAAAGATTTCCAAAGATTTCTAAAGATTCTCAAAGATTTCCAGAGATTTCAAAAGATTTTAAAAGACTCTAATTTAAGAAAATCTGCTTGCTCTAATCAATCTCTGCTTGAAAAATTGTTTAGTCTTATTTTATATGCGTTGCTATATGGCTTAGTCCTTTCACGGCAGAACGAATCATATAAAATAAAATGAGTTTGTGACTATGTTTTTATGTCTTCCTTCACCTATCTAGTCATATAGTTCTATGTGTGGGTATAATTTTACAGTCTCAATGAAGACGATCGAAAACAACAAAACTAAATTTATATCGAATTCTGGAAAATTCGATCTTAGATTTTTCATTCAGAAAACATATTTTGCAGTAATAACCATTCTTTTTGTAAACTTTCAAAAGCATAGCGAAGATCGAAGAATTCAAATCCTTAACTAGCTCCTAATTATTCATGGTCTTGATTTCTCTTTGATAAGACTCATTGTTTCTGTGAAATACTGTGCGTTTACCAAGAAATCAAAGAGATGAATGTCTTAAAGCTTATTGCAGTCGGAAATTGTTCGACTACTTACGTTTCGTCGCACTTGATATAAGATCATTGCTTTGTTAAAATAGTTTTTGTTTAAACAAAAAAACTGACATTAAATGGTATTTGCCTGAACGCATCACTTGTTCATTTGATTTAAATTGAAGACAATATTAGGTCCGAAATAGTCTACTTGATATTTAGTTTTAAGATTTATATCAACATTCACTATAAATAGTGCTCATTACCACAGTTCGCTCGATTGTACACCGAACTTCATTTTACCTTCAACTCTGACTATCTGCAAGATTCTCTTTTGAAAACTACTCCTCGAAAACATAAGATTATTTAAAAAGAAATGTTTTTTTTATTGCCGGAGATGATCATTTACTGAAATGAGTCTTGGCCAACAGCCCGCATCTACTGTATGGCAACATGCCTCAGCGTCGCGAAACTCAATTTTTTAATTTTCTGTATGATTAAGATTTAATTTTAAGTGTTTCATTTTCTTACTCAACACGCTTTTAACAGTTCAAAGAAATGAATCAAAATACATTTCGTATTCTCATGTTGAATGTTAAGTGTATATAATAAACAGAATAAGAAGACTACGAAGTTTAATCTATTAGGATTGACGTTTTAGTTTCTATAAAAGAAATATAACTCACGATTGTGCAATACTAGCTATCATAAGATCCATTCTATCGACTTTTTTTGATAGTCCATTCATAGAAATCGAATACTTTTTGTGACGATCCTTATCTTTCGACATTCGGAGTATTACAAAGTTGTCGTTCTTTAATTTATCTGAAACAATGCAGGATACGAGTTTCTTTAATAGATATTATCTATTTGCGTAATTGTCGTTGTAGGCAGTAAAGACCTAATAGTTTTCTTAATTCGAAAAATCAGATTAAGATTTATTAAACTGTTTATATGAAAACAAAAATTATTCTATTTGCCTACAGACTTTTCCTAAACCAGATGTTGATGTTTTTCCATTTTAACAAAGTAATGTTACTATAAATCTCATTACCGATATTTGATTAATAATCTTCCTGCTTGTTGCACAGAATAACTTCATCTTTATGTAAGGTCTTCTTTTATCTAGCACGAGAGATTATGATTCAGGCCATTCATCATGTTTATTCTAAATTTCATCCTCTACTACAATATCTTTCTTCCGTATAAAAGCTCACATTATCATATAAGGAGAATTAACTCATTAAATCCTGACAAAACTATTCTGCTTATTTTGAATACAAATGTGGGCATCTTCACTAAGATTCCATTCAAAGATGTAGTATATTCATTTCCATAGACATTTTTTATACACAATAGGAAGGTATCAAGCTTGAACAAAAATCTATATTGTGAGTCACTCGATGTAGACAATAAAGATGAAAAGTAATCGAGATAACTTGGAGTAGTATTCCAAACAGCTTATGACACCATATTAAGATGTTATATAGCTCAAATGTGAGCTGGGTTCCCTGATGATTTTCCTGAAAGATTGTGTGTATTTGAAGAGTTTGATTTCGCTCACATGCAAGCAGAAAAGTAGTAAAACTATTCTTCGTAACATCTTCAACTATGACACATTTCTTTAAGACTTCAAAATTTTGAAGTCATTGATCACTCTGTACAAAAGAATCATAGATTAACATAACAATGTTAGTCGTTTCATAGTATTAGGGTTGAATCTAAGTTTATGTTGCAATTTCATCACGAGAAAGTCTAATAATGACAGCCCCTTTTAACAAATGCTCTCTTTAATACAGAGTCATAAATGTTTCTTGATCCTGTGATTAAAACTCGAGTATGACTACGTCAATAAAATAAAAACTGCCTTGGGCATTCTGCAAAGTCCGTATCCTATTGAGAGTACTTCTGAACGAGAGTATATGCAGCAGCTTAGAATATTCCTAAATCTTAAATGATCATTTTTAAAACTAAACATAAAAATAATCTTCTTGAGATAATATACATGCGGATGAGGATGGACATTTTATGGATTTATCACTTTAAAAATATTTCTTTAAGCTCTTTTTTTCATGAAACATAGAACTTTTGAGATGTTGTTAATACCAACAAAAAAGGATGAACTTCAATTGATATTTGTCTGACTCATCATTTCAAAGAACTTTAGCAATATTAAATATGCATATGACAAGATTATAGCTCCATTAGGCTAGTATCCAGTAATGAATTGAAAACTAAAGCTCATTAGTTTTGGAGTATAAACAATATTCCAGCATTTGACTAACATCATTTGAGCTACCATTAACTAAAGGAAGGATAACCAGTTCGACTGTGGACAGCAGTACTGTTCTGTTATACATTTCACAGTTTTCGTTGCAAGGAGTTTTTATTTAAATGATTTTGAAGCTTCGATGTAACCTCAAACATAGAAGAAGATTTTGCCATTTAGGTCATAATAATCCAAAGATAGTTTATATGACTTTTAGCTATTCCTTTTGTCAAAGATATGTTTTCATGTAAAGAGGTAGTGTCAAGACGAATTAGTTACTGCATGCAAATTATTCATCATTCACTTTTCGTATTTATCAAATTTTATGCTTGATTCATAAGGCATAGATGTTTCTTTATTTACATTGACATTACTTCAACAAAAAGTCACTATCAAAGGACGTGTTTATATTGAAAAGTAGAATGCTTAAACGCATTCGAATCAAAGTTACAGGTCTCACCGTTAAGTTAACATTTATAAAATATAGGTTGTTTCGACATGCATCAACCAATATGCTCCAGTTTTCATTTGTCTACAGTGTTTGGAGGATGTTCAAAACTGAAAACTTCAACATAATATTTTGTCTTGTTTTCTTGATGGTTAAATGAAAATTTTCGAATCACATCATAAAAATACTAAGATTTTTAGATCTATATTCCTTATGCATGGAATTCATGCTAAAATAGACCTTTTGTTTAACACCTTTCAAATCTCTTTTTAAATATGAATCAGATACATTGCTAATTCATTTCAACTATCTCTATCCAACCATCAAGGAAACAATTATGCAATCTGCAGAAACTTGATGCTTTAGTCATGCTACATACACTGTTAACACTTTAAAGCCATGATATCGTGGTCAATGTATACCAAGAGCAACTTACAGGTAAAATTTATAAGTTTAGTAGTGAAGTTTTCCATGGACTCCAATCTGTCTCATCTGCTTAACTGACAATACAACTGTCTCTGCTGGAAGTGATAGTCCGTGTCAAATGTACCTTTTCAAAGTTGTTTAACAGAGTTCCTAAAGAGAAAAACTCTTAGCAATTTGCGTATCGAACGCAGTCTCTAGACAATCCTTTTGAAAGGCTTCCCCATTAAAACTATCGTATTCGTGATCAGATGTTCAACCAAGCTTCTTTGGAACACGATTCACAATTAATTACTTACGAGCTTATGTTTACTTTCTAAAATATTATTTATAGTCTACGGTTCAGTTGATTGCGAAGAATCATTCAATTGATAGGAGAACAGTTTTCAATGAAAATTTTCATATACAGAATCATTCCTGTCATACATTTCGCGGTCTCTCTGATAAATCTGCTATGTATTACTATTGAATGTTTCCCAAATCTTAGTCGAGTATTGTCAATAAACATGCTAGATATTTTACAGTTATTGTCTAAAGTATGCATTCACTTAACTATTAGTATCTATGGCCAGTAATTTGACAGCATCTTTCAGGGTCAAATCAACCAAAACAAAAATTGGACACAAGCGGAACACAAATAAATTTTCATACAGGACCCTATTCCAAACATGAGCGCTCCGATTGAGTCAAGCGGGTGTTTATAGAATACGTGCGTAGTTAAAAATTTCGCATGAAGTACCTCTTAAGACGAAAATTAGTTATAGAGGACAGCCTAAGGATTAAAATTGAAGTCAGAGAGAAAATCTGATTGGTAGTTGAATGCCAGAAACGTCGAAGTCACAGAGAACGCGCAAGCTTAAAGATTGACTGGACAGATAATTGATAATGGGTACATTATGTAACCTAACTAATAGTGCAAAAGCACAAAATTTGGGGAAGAAAAAATTGAAGTAAAAATAAGTAGTCAATAGTATTGTTCAAAGCATATATAGCTATGCTACAAAGTTAATCTTACACTTCAAATACACACACACAGACATCGGATTGAAGAAAAATATGAGTACATAAAACTTAACTTATCTATTTTTTTCTTTTCGCCCCTCTAAGTAGCAGAAGTATTCTATTTAAAAGATATTCGATAGCATTAAGAACTTTGGAAAGAATCTAAACAGATTTTAAGTACGCATCTCTCAATATCAAATGCTTTCACTTACGATGGTACTGATGTGTATTGATATTAATGATATAGTTATTGTTATGTACTTGATTTTTTCGTCCAAAACTGGGTCCTTCATAAAAATAGTGACTTTTGTGAAATTAGGCTACAATTAATACAGGTAGAGAAATCTGAATCTGCAATTAGTTTTTACAGTTGTGTTCGTGCAGTTTTGATTAAAGGAAGAGATTTTTGAAGAAGTTATGCTTTGCATTAAGTTTGATAATCCGTAGACGAAATTAGTTTATTTGATCAAGCAGTCAAGTTCAAACTTTCTGAAAACTAACAGCATGTTTAAACTACATGCATCCGGCAATATTTGATAAATATTTCTTTAAAAAATCCTTCTTTACTAGAAAGATTCTTTGTTTAAAGGAAAAACTAAAGATGTTAAAGTATTGATACAATAATATGAAAACGTGGTCAATGTCAGTCCCATTCACTCTTCACAATTCACTTCTATATTCATGCTGGACCATGCGTCATTTTAATGTTCGGAGAGATTCTTAAAGATTTCTAATCATTTCTGAAAATTTCCAGAGATTTCTAGAGATTTCCAAAGATTTCTAAAGATTTCCAAAGATTTCTAAAGATTTCCAAAAGATTTCTAAAGATTTCCGAAGATTTCTAGAGATTTCTAAAGATTTCCAAAGATTTCTAGAGATTTCTAGAGATTTCAGAGGTTAAAATCTGCTTTTTCCCCCTTGGGTTTTTCTCCAGCCAAAATGACTACCCCGTTCGATTTACCAACATCTTCTTGCTGAACGTTCGCTTTATCTGACTTGCAGATAAACCGAACGGGTGGTGTATTTTTTAAATAACTCACTAAAAATCGAAAACAGCATCGATTGAACTGAACCGCTAGAATTAGATAGAGTTGAAGATGAGGAATCGAATGATATCATTTTTAAAAATTTTCATTGAAATTTGTAAACAGGAGTGAGTAAATTCACTACTCATTGATATTTTTGCTTGTTCTCCGCTAAAACGTTCGCTTTACCAGCATATTTTTTGCTTAGCGTTCGCTTTGCGAACATTGCAGATAAGCCGAACGTTTGAGATACCCCATTTCATACCACTAACTACTCAATTATTAGACGAGTTACAAATCTTTTTTTTTATATGAGTAGATGCAGAATTTAATTCTCTTTCCCGTAGTATAAAAAGAAAAATTTTAGCCCTTAGAATAATCAAGATATAAGTGATGGAACACAGGAAGTGGCGAAACTACCGGGGGAGCTTGGGGGAGCTCAGCTCCCCCTAGAAAATTTTGAACCTGCTGTCAATGCACATGTGAGCTCCCTCCAGAAGGGTCTTGAAAAGAGTTGAGCTCCCCTAGAAGGGTCTTAAAAGTAGTTGAGCTCCCCCTAGAATTTTTTTCTGGTTTCACCACTAAACACAGGCACCCCTAAAATGCGTTCGGTTTACCAACATTGACTCTATATGATATATATGACGATACTGGATAAAAAGAAGTGATGTCGCTCGAAGAAGAAAATTATTTTAAGGGGACCCCTTTCCGGGGTTTCTGAAGAACGGCTGGGCGAAATTTTTTCAAACTCTCAGGGTTGATAGACCTTGATGAGTAGAGCAAAAGTTTTCATAGACACAAAATTCTCAGATGCCTCCTTATAGGAGTTTTTGGGGTCCTAAGACCTAAAAATGACCAAAAGTTTTCCCCTCGCAAAACTCGAGACTTCATTATTTTGACCTGAAACTTTTTGTGTGGCAACTAGGGCCCAATCGGGGTGCGTTTTTTTTTGGTTTTGAAAAATATTGGTTCCATACGTCAGGAGAAGCAAAATACTGAAGACCTTGTCAAAAACCTTGTTTTTTCCATGGTACGAATTTTTCTAAAGGCTGCCAAATTTTATAGGAACGACATTTCGAAGAAAAAAAAATACGCACCCGAATTTAGTCGAAGTACTCCCAAAAAAATTTTGAGCCCGATCGGTCCAGCTGTTTCGGAGAAAAAGGGGGAAAACTTCAGGTTTTTGCCTCAAAAACCGGGTCTTCAGAAAAATTTTTAAAAAATTGAATTTTCATCGTTTTTCGAGTTTTTCACCACAAAAGCAAAGTTTGAAAAAAATTGAAATTTTTGGGTCCACAAAGGGGGGGTCCCCTTAAAAGTAGTGCACTAGATTTTTTAATTCTTCTACAAATTATGAGTTTCTAAAGCGACTCCGCGCAGGTAAACAATAAGAAAATTTTTTTGCTCCTTGAAAGTACACTGTATTCATTCATTTGCACTACATTATAGAGGCTATTCTCAATTGTGATTAGTGGATCAGATGCTATATGTGAACAAGTGTTGATTTAAAACGAAAATAATACTGTTTCATTTTCTAGTGTAGAAGGGGTCTTTTCTGTACGGGAAAAATTGAAATATATAGAGGTCAAACAGACTAGAAAAAATAAAGCCGAATTAAGAAATGTGATTGGTGCATTAAAATTTAAATCATCTCAAAAAGATGACTTAAGTTCAATTATGCAATGTGATTGGCGTATTACGTTTTAAGTTAATTCGTTTTATTCTAGTCTGTTTGGGGTCATAGCCATGCTGCGGTTCACACGATAGAAAAGAATAATAACTTTTTTATCTCATATGAGACGAATGGTCGTATAACATTTAGCTGTATTGACCGAACGGCACCTTTTCTCGTCGTGTTTGTTCAGTTCATGAGAAAGAAATGAAAATTTTTTTTTTTTCTCTCTAACATATATTGACGGACACCTACAATAACACTTGAATATTACATGACATAATATACTTTAGGATGATCTGTATGTATTTTCTTTATTTTTCTACGTTTCATTTTAGTTAAGATAGAAGATCTATGTGCTGAAGAAACAAAAGATTATATTTTTCTTCAGTACTTTAATTAACGCTGTTGAAATAAACTAAGCGTTTGTCACTTGCATAATTTTTTTTACCTCTAAATAGTACATCTTAATTGTAGTTACAATCGATCATATTCTAACTAATGAACTAAGGTTTGTTTTATTTTTTCTTTTTCCAAAATAAAGAAAAAGAAATTTATTTCTTCGAATTTTAACTAACCATATTAATGAACTCGCTAATCGAAGTTTTAAGTCGTTTTTATTGTTTGAGTATCTTATCAATATCAAAATATACATTAATACTGAAGTAAAAAGGTTGATGCTGTGAAATATCACATATGATGAGCGTCCTAATTTAAAGGAAAAAATTAAAACATCGTTCACAGACAATATCTCTCCAGACAGTTTTTACTTACGAATCGATCTTTCAATGACATGTTGGTCGTTCCTCAAAAGTAGATTTATCGTATTTAATTGGGTTTGCCAAAGACTCGAGTTTTAAAAGTTCTGTTTTAATAATACTTTCATGTAGTGTAGATGTCTTTAATATTAATGAAACTATGATTGGTCTGAAATTATTAATAAACTGACCTTTAGTTATAGAGCGAAACTTTTATTTATTTTGAAATAATAGAAAAATGAAAAACGAAAACTTTTCTAAATCCAATATAGAAAATTAATACTAAGGTATGGAATTTTGAAGATGCGAGACTATTATTGAATAAGTGAGTTTTATTAAATTTTGTTCTCTTTTTGCAAATAGAAAACAAGAGGTGACAATTTTTACTATAGATCCTTGAAATGTGCTTTCAAATATAGTAGAGTTAAGCTGAATATTCTTCCTTTGTTTTCTGTTCTTAATGATGCAGTGTTTATTCATTCATTGTCCTATAATATCAGCGAGGAAATACGTACATCACTGCATCTCTGTAATATAATAGCCTTGACCAACAAATAATATACGATGTACAATGTGTGCTAGGAGAAAAAGATAGTATTTTTTACTACAATATACAGCGTGGATCAATAATGAGTTGAATAACATAAGTCAGTAATTCCTCATTATCATTGAAAATATTTACCCTTTCATATGTCTGTACAATAAAATTTTTCATTTATTCTCGTACAATAATCAGATCGAAAATTGAATTGATAAAGTTATAAAATCAAAAGTATTATTTAATATATTTGTATAATGTTGAAATGAAAGAAAACTGAGATGCTTATTCATCAAAAGGTCATGCTCACTGACGTTTCAAGGCTTATAGGACTTTTTATTTTTAAATCATTTTTTCATCTAAATAAAAACTGTTTGAACTTTAGTAATATTTATGTAATCTTCTGAAAATGAATACCATTTTTTTTGTTTTTATTTCGTTACACCAGTCATTTTATTAGGGATCAGTAGTGATCGAACTTATGAAAAGAAAAGTATAACATATCTTTCATTTTAGATAAAATGATCAGTAGAATGGAAATATTACCTAATGAAATTCTTCTTCATATATTTTCTTATCTTGAATGGTTCGATATGTTAACATCTTTCTGGTCATTAAATATTCGCTTCAATTCTCTTGTATGTTCAATTCTTTCGATAAATGACAATAGATTGAACAGTGGTCTGCTTATTACGCATGGTTTATCTTATAATAAATTTTGTTCAATATTATTTCCATTGATTTTAAATTCATCATCTCTTTCTTCTTCTATTCAACGTATTCATTTTGATGGATCAAATTCAATTGCTTCTGATCTTTGTTATGAATGGTTATTTAATGATAAAAAATTACTTCATTTTCCAAATCTTAAATCACTTGTTCTTGGTCAATGTGGATCAATTAAACCAATAGTTCAAAGTTTATCTTATCTTGTTCAACATCAATTAGATGAACTTACATTAACATTTCATAAGCATGTATTCACACAGTTTTATTATAAACAAAACCATTTGTCACTGGTTTCTGATAAAGGTAACCAACCATTTATTTGATAGATTCTATAAAACAAGATAGGATTATCTCTCTTGAAGAAATCATTCTCAATTGAAACTAAATTCTTTCACTGAAACAAAGAAGAGTATTTACGTGTCAAACAATAAGACCTATTTTCGAGAAAACTTTTAGATGGAAATCAATATTTAACAATTGTTGACAATCACTATTACTGAGTGAAGATCTAGTAAAACGGTCACCTAGCTGTAGAACATAGGATTATGGTCGCGAACCAAGCTAACTTTTCTTTCGACACAATACATCCTATCCAATAAGATAAGTGTCAGCTTAAATTTGATTTATCACATCATGAGATTTTCTCTTAAGATATAGAAATCAATATAATAAGTAATAACATCCAATTTAGTAATTTATTGTTTTCCTGTTATGCAAAAAAAAAAAACATTAAATGTGAATAAGTCGTATGTCGAAGGGGAAACAGCTGATTCTGGGTAGAAAAAATCATCTGGAATCACTTGGAGTCATCAGAATCATTCGGAATCACTGGAAATCATTCGAATCCAAGGGAAAAGCAGCTGATTCTGGGCAGCAGAATCATCTGAAATCACTAGTATCACTTAGAATCACTTGAAATCAACGGAATTTTGAAATCTTAGAGGCAGCTGTTTCCACCTTACATATATAACTATAAATAAATTTTGGTTAATTGTTAATTGTATTTCACGGTTATCTTAAACATGTTCCAGTCATTTATTCATTGAAAGATCAATCAACTGTTATAATCATTCAGTTGACTCAATAGAAATAGAATTAAATTTATTTTATTTTTGTATGTTATTTTTTGATCAATCAGAAAAAGCATGAGATTATATAAATATCAGTTTTACATTAATAAACCTAAAATTAAAAAGATTTTTTCATAAAAAAATATTTTTTTAAGCTGTAGAAAATTTCTCTTTTTTATTTTTTGAGAAACAATAGAAAAACAGTTCACCATGCTCAAACAATTTCTTTGTCAATTATTCTCTGGTCAATGTCAATTAAAATCTCTTCGACTTGATATTAGCAACGAATTTAGGGATGGTTTTTTTCATCGATGTTTATCATCAAACTCTAATCTTTCTTTCGATTTTATTCAATATCCATACCGATCTTCTTGTGTAACTCTTCGTCGTTTACATATTCGACTTAATCAAAGTTGTTTTCTGGAAAATCTGATTGAATATGTACCAAACATCGAACAAATGTCAATTGAGTGTGATTGTTCTTTGTCTTCTTATAGATTAAGGACATCAAATATTGAAACATTGAGTCAATTAAATGAAAATTGGTTTAATAAAGTAAGAAAAAAAACAAAGAATAATCATCTTTTTTTTTATTTGATGAATTTCTTAAAATATCTATTTCTTTTGATTGATAAAAAAACAATCGTATTCTTTTAGATACCAAAACTACGATGTTTTAGTTTAAAAACTTTCATTAACAATGATTCGAATATTATTTATTTGAAATGGCTTCTTAATAATATAAACTATGTTGAGAAACTTGAACTTCAACTTAGAAGTGATAAACTAATTGAAACAAGGCATCAAAATATATTAAAATCTTTTATTGATGCAAGTTTTATTCGCCAATATTGTTTACCTGATACAATATCTAATTTAATTTATTTTGATTTTTATATTTGTTCAGAATGTCAATTATCATTTAATGATGTAGAAAGAATAACAAATTCATTTAAAATTCATTCTTTTTTTATCGATCATCAATGGACAAATGTTAAATGTTTATTTGATCCAATAATGTCATGTCAACATCTTTTCTCTTCTTTCAATAATACATCTCAAATTTCCGATAATTTTATGTAAGATATTTGTCTTTATGAAAAATTTGAGATCTTCTTGAATCACTTATATATTTTTCTTTTAGTGATTATTCATATATTTTTAATTGGCCCCGTATTGGTGACATGTGGTTTAAAATGTATCCATCACTTTATTTTTTTCTCGAACAATTCACTGAATTATCACCTAATATTTCTTGTGTCAAAGTATACAGAGGTAAGTTTCTTTGCCATTTCAATTACTCTCTTAATGACTAAAGAAATAGGTGGCAAAGTTCGGGTTACCGGAAGTTTGTCGATAGTAATTTCACCAATTTGTTGGTGTCAACTACATTCATAGATAATAATTGTTTATCTAGTAATTAGGGGTGTACAGCTCACACTCATGAGCGCTCATATGAGCGTGAGCAAGCGCTTTTCGCTGACGTTCATATGAGTGTTCATGAGTGTGGGCATGAGCTGTACATTCCTACTTTGTTCTGAAATGAATCTAATAGAAAAATAATAAAATAGTATTTTTAAAAGTATAAAAAATTTCTATTTTTGTTTTAGAACGTAGCAGAGCTTTCGTCGAGTCAGATTTTTTGATGTCATTGAAGATCTTATCGAAAATGAGGCAACACAAGGAAATCAATATTCCTTTTCAAAATGTTACGAAAATTCAATTTGGAACGTATTTCGACCGGATGAATGGTTTATATTATATTTGCTTTTTTTTTTCGAAGATTTGAAAAGAAATAGCTTACTCTTCATTTTTAGTTAAAAGAAAACATTACCACAAATTTTTTTATTGCTTTAAATTTCACATAAAACTATTTTCTTATAGTCAGCAGAACGAAATGGACTTTTTTTGTATATTAAGATTTAATATTTTATAATTATATTGAGACTTTAGACATGAATTTTATAATTATTGATGCTGAGTAGAATTTGAGTGGTCATGAAAAAAGACACGATTAATAGAGAAAGTCATTCAGTAATATTAGGTTTAACCACTAGTATTGAGAATCTCTATTCAAACTCTGATCGTTGTTGGATAGATGCTGCGTTGATTAAAGACTGTTGCCTGTTCGGATACACTTACTAATAATACAGTCTGTCATTACTATGCAGGTTATGGTCTACAATCTGTTGCGCTCCGTTTCAACGTTCTTTTCTCTATGAGAACAGTCTTAAAAATCTCATCTTCCATTTAGAATTTTACTTGGTTATTAATCATAGATAGAAATATTCTAATTAAAAATGATTTATATGAAAATATTTTTGTAAGAGATTTCGTATCGATGGAAGAATGCAGTGAGCAATGTTAATTCTTGAGATATAAATAATAAAAATCGAACGAAAAATATTATGATTGGTTCATAATTGAGAGATATTTTCAATCCGGATCAAAAATTTTATATTTCGACCATTTGATTATTTAATATTTAATAATAAACATCTAAAATATTTCATAGCTTCTCTTGCCTGTTAGATGATAAATAAAAATAATTTATTTTCTAAATAATTTAAAAAAAAATATTATTTCAAATTCGAGTTAATTTCAAATGATTGTTGAAAAATTTGAAATAATTTTTCTTACATATTTAATTCATTTTCGATTTATTCATATTAGAATTATTCTCATAATATTTCATAAGTATAAAATAAAGCTTAACATATTGCTGCATATTATTTAAATAAAAATGAATTTCGTTTGTTAAATGTTACTAAATTATTTTATAACGGATAAATCATTCAGATATGAGAAGTAATCAGAGATGCAGAATCTGATGTTAAAATGAAAAATTTCCCTCACACGTGTAGTCGCGCACAAATACATTCTACACGTCTGACAAGTAATATTCTAAATTAAAAATGATCATTAGTTTTCTTTCAAATAATTTGTTCTGAGATCTTAATAAATACAAGAGAAATATATGAGTGTCGATTAGTAAATGTGAAATAAACACAATAAAGAAATGAATCAACTATTTTCAAAGAGATTTCTAATTTTTGTAAAAGAAACTTCAACGATTATATCTATATGTAGAATAATATAATTTTTATGTATATAATGTTCTCAATGTTATTAGCAATCGTGTATATGAGTGAATTGCAACTTTTTGGTACGATTGATGCAAAAAAATGAAAGTGAACGTAAACAAGTTTTGAATAGTGGATTTCATTATGCTCTACGCCAGTAGTATGTAGCAAAAGTATTTCAACACTTGACCACATATTAGCTGAGATATAACTTTCTTCAGTGTAAATATAGCATAAAAACTGTTATTTTTATGGAAAAGGCCCTGTTACAGCTTATCATATAATGTAAATTTTTCAACAACGGTAAGTGATAGAAAGTTGAATTTTTTACTGGTTATATAACTTAGAGAAGTATATATACAGTAAAAATTTGAGCGAAAACAAAGAAGCCGTTCAAGAGTTATTCACATAGTAATTTTTCAAAAGGTCAATCTACATTTTTTTAAAAAAGGTCAATCTACATTTCGTCATATAATGTAAATTTCTCGCGAACGGTAAGAGTTAGATGGCTGAAATTTTTACCATTTATACAACTCTGAGATCTATATTTATGGTAAAAATTTGAGCGAAAATGGATGAGCTGTTCAAGAGTTATTAGCGATGAATTTTTCAAAAAGTCAATCTACAAAGTGAGTAAAACTTGCATTTTTGGAAAAAGATCGTGTTTTTTAACAAAGAGGAAAGGTGTTCACAAGATGTTTTTTTTATCAATTTGTTTTCCGCCCAACGGTCTTTCTTTTGAAACCCTTTCCGCTTCGTCAAGTCGTAGTCAGAGGGAGAAAATTAAAAAACAAGGTAAATCTACACGAAAATGAATAAGTGTCTGTAATTATGTATTTGAAGCAAATGAATGTAAAAAGAACGGAAAAGAAAGACAAAAGACATATCATTTGAAAGAGCGTTTCAGGCTGTACAAAATGGACTATTCATTATATTTTTTCTCTTTCTTTTTATACTAAGAAAATATTCTTTTCTTGGCACGTGTCCATATAAAATACGATTTTTTTCACAGTGTGAGACTTATAAAGTTCTCGACAGTATGAGTTAGAGAGCTGAAATTTAGTGTGGCAGTGGGGCACACAGACTAATAACAAATAAAAAAATTGTCCAAATTGGTTGAGAAGAACAAACGTTATTAAGCAAATACAGCTAAAATTCCAATCATACCAAAAAGTTGCAATTCACTCATATATATTTAACTTTATTAAGACTATAAAATACACTTACCGAAATATCTAAATATCGAGTATCCTTTAAAGACAGAACTGCGTTTTATTTTCCTATTACTCGTTTCATAAAATACTAGTTAGCAAATCTTTTCTTTATTCTCATATTATTCTTAAATGTACGATCTAAACAGTAGAATTTACAAAATTGGTTCATAATTTTTAGCATATGGATTAGAATAAGTCAATTTTGTTGTTAGATAACTTTTCTTATAGTAGTAACGTAGAATTTAATTTTTTTTCTAGATAATATTTCAAGTGTATTAGTAGAGCGAAATGAAATACGTGAAAAAGTACTCGCTCATCTCATTTCAATGACTGTCCAACTCAAATATCTTCAAATTGAACGATTCGAATGGCTATTACATGTTGTTCAATACGTAAGGCATTCTTTTATTTACGAATTAGGTATATTTCCGTGAATATATCTATGTTACATATAATTCATTTAAATATATTCAAATGAATGAATTGGACAGTTGAACCTTTATTTTAATAATGAGTAAATACTTAAGAGTTATTAAAGGAAGATGGTTTTCATTAGCACTTATCGTTATATATCTACTTCAGTCAAAGATTGTTGGCAATGCAAAACGATCAACTGTTTTTTTCTCGTACCACTTTAAAACATCTGCTTTGATTTGACAAATCAATTCTAATCGAACAAAACAATTTACTTTTTTTTGTTGTTTTCTATTTAGATACCTGACGATCTAAGAATGAACGCATTAAATACTGTTCGATGTGCTGAATTTCGTCTTCCGAGTTGTCATATAGGTAGAAGCGATGTAATACATATTGGCAAACACCTTGTGCCTTTTCTTAGCACATATATGCCTCATTTACAAACATTACGTCTTTGGCGACCAGATGATTTTCCTTGGACAACTAGTAAGTTTATTTTAAACAAATAAAATTAGTCAAGATAAAACCTTTTACTAATCGACAATAAATATTATTCTGTTTTTATTTTTATTATGGATTACATTTTGTCCTTTATTACCCAAAAAGTTGTTTTTACAACGATTGTTAATCAACCAGAATGAAAAATTTTCTTTTTTTGTTTGTATCAATTTCATTCACGTCCTATTTTGTTTCACTGAACAAGATTTTGTAACTATGTGACATAGACTCGATAGTTGAGAATTAATATGGAACGTTTGTAAACGCTAATTTTATCTTCGAATTCTCTAAATTGCAAATGCCGTAATTGTAGAACGGATTCATTTCCTCAGTATGTAACTGATTTTGATGATAGATAATATTATATCTTATTTATCATCACGAATCAATTATAATAAACAAAAAGAAAACTATTTTTGAATTCGAACTTTTGTATATTTTAAGAACTAATAATGTTTCATTTTCATTGTCTTTTTTCTTTATTTAAGTTCGGCCAGATTATAAAGAAAGAAGATATTATGAAGCTTCAGTTCTACAATGGCGGAAGTCTCTAAAAACGCCCGAATCGATTGGTATATATATACAAATACAATGACTTCATACAAGAAAATAAATTAATAATATAATTCGATTTTTAGATCAACATGTAGCCGTCTTTGAACAAGATCTTTGTCAACTGATCGGAAAATTAAAGGACTTTATCTTTCTCGATATTTATGGCAAAATTCATTATGAAAAAGTTGAACCTTACCGGTCGATGGTTCAAGCTCGCTTTCCTGATAGTCGAATAGATGTTGAAATATCAAGATTTCGTTTGTGGCGTTAATTTCCTGTTTGTTTGTTATATGCAACAGATGTGTATTAAAGACAATTATCTAGCTAACTACTTATTATTTTTCTGCTTGTCTTTCTTTAATATTATAAGTTGTAAAAGATTTACATCCAATAATGAAATATTAATATTATTCTGTAAACAATATTTAGCTGTTTTTTGAAGAAATCAATTGGTGTAATTGAAGAAGAATGCAGCTTCTCCTACAAACATTGGAGTCTCTAGAAAAGTTTGAAACTGTTGTCAGTGCAAATGTGTCTCCCTAGAGGAGACTTAAAATGATTGAGCCCTCTCCTTCCACAATGGCCAAAAAAAAGGATTAGAGACAATCCTTTTAATTACTTCAGCTATCAACTTAATATTTTGTATACATATAGACATAATTTCGTACTGATTATCCATGTTTCCCTAGTCTCCTTTACTCGAAAAATTCCTAGAACATGAAGTTTTCGGCTTTCAAAAGCTGTGAATTAAAATAATAAAAGTAGTTGTTTCATTATAGCCGCCATGGCTGAGTGATTACGTTGTTTGACACGTGTCCACAAGGTATCGTGTTCAAACCTCGGTACTACCAGCCATGGAATGACTTTGGACAAATCACTAACGGCTGTTTGTCTCGGATCACCCATCCGATAGCATGCTGATTACATGTGACATACACCGGGCCTTGTGCCTAGTATGTGGTTAGTCAGTATGTATGGGGAGCTCAAGTAATTGAGCGACAAGAACTCTGCGTCAGGTCGGCCTTCTGTCCAGAGCTGCAACTAGTAATATTTGTAGGAAAAGTATCGGGCTCATGAAACTGTCCTTGGACAGCACCCTACACCGAAAGGTAGCCGAATGGCAAGGGTATTCTTCTTCTTCTTCTATCTTTAGAGCACATAAAATTAAAAAAAATTCTTTCATTTTTTTTAAAAGGAGGGGGTACCCTTAAGAAAGGACGGGGGCGCGTAAGAAGCCAAATCGGCCCATTAGGACTTTCTTTCGCTAATCTCATTAAATCATACATCAATTGAAAGAACACATTGAAATTAGCATTTTGACACTATTTGCACAGGGTTTCGATAGAACTTTCGAAGAAAAAAACTATTAACAAAGTAAGACATTTTTACTCATTTATCCAATAATCGACCCTATCACAGTTGACCCAGCTGTGCAATAAATTAATTAAAAGGATAGTTCTAAAATGAGCTATTTGGTAGCTTTTTTAAAGGCCTTCAATCCTGTATATGAATCAACAACTAATTGTTTCATTTACCGGTAAGGAGGATTGCAATACTGGTGGACACTGTTGATATAAGTCGAATATTTGCTATCAACTTTTATATTTCAAGAAATATTTTCCGAGAAAAATGGAAGGTACCAAAATTCTGGTATTACTCGTTGGAAAGCCCTTTTCAAAAGCTACAAAACTATATATTTTTTAAAGTCTAAAAAGTTTGGACCCTACGAAAAATTCAGGTCCCATTGTACTCGGGTATGGCTTTTCCCATGTTTTTGCCTATTTTTCACTAGTAATGAGCCATTTTTATCAATAAAAGCTCTAGTTCAAGTCAAGACTAATATCAGATTTGAACTCAGCATCAAAAACTGAGTCGGTTTATATACATTTCAAGTACTCCCGAGAACTTTGGTTTTTCTTCACCTTTTTGTGTACTCAAAAAGTGAGTACACTCTAGAATCGGTCAGTGTGTCCGTCCGTTCGGCCGTCCGGCCGTTAACACGATAACTTTTGAAAGGAGAGTCCGATCGCGATGAAATTTTCTACACAGTTTAGTCTTTATAATATCTCGGTCGAGTTCGAAGATGAGAATGATTGGTCGAACCATTGCTGAGCTATTGCAAAAATAGTCATTTTTCCATATGAGAAGATAGACCCTTCTCTGCTTTCATAAAAAACTTTTCCTATCATAGTCATATAAACCCCCAACTATTATAAACCATTCGATAGAGAATTTCAC